GGCCCACCTGACCCACTTACCAACCCATCCCCTAAACCCACTAACAACTCACTTAACTATTTATTATTATATATGCATTATTTTAATAAGATATCATTTTTTTTATAGATAAAGATAAAATCAATGTTAAATAATATGAAATTACTATAAATTTATCTATCCAAACCTCTAATAAAATTTAATATTGATGGATAATCACTCTCATGAAAGATTTTTTATTTTTTTGTTTTAATTTTTTAAAGTTTCACACTTATTAATTTAATTTTAATGTTGTATCTATGATACTTAGTTTAATAATTTTTACTTTAGACTAAATATTATTTTATATTGAAATTTATTTTGAATTATAATTTTTTTAAAAAAATCAGGTGGGTTGGTGGGCGGCCCGTTTAGCCCACCAACCCATGGTGGGCCGGGCCAGGCTAGAAAAGTTTACATAATAAATTTGGTGGGTCGGGCCGGGTTGGCCCACTTAAAAAGTGGGTTGAGGTGGGCCGGGTCAAACGGGCCGGGCTGGCCCGTTTTGACAGCTCTAATTTTTCTTGTTGAATCAAGAAATTTTAAAAAGACAATTTCTTTATGGATTTGATTTTTAAAAAGCACCTTGAAAGAGAAAAAGAGTGAAGAGAAAATTTATCTATTACTTATTTGAAAATTATCTAACTTGAGCTAACCTTGATTTTTTTTTTATTATTTATTTTATTTATATTTATATTAAATAATTTGACCTAATAATTTGGTGGTGTTATTAAAGTTAAATGGTGCTTTTTCTCTTATAAAATTGGTCGATTTTAATTTTTATCCTTAATTTTTAGAATACCAACGTTTGTTTATGTAATTATGAAATTTGATGTTAATTTCTTAATGAGGTGAATGTAATGTTCATCAGTAAAATAGTTCATGATGTTAATTATACGGGAAGGATATTAGTCAAAAAAATAACTATTTAGGTGAAGTTGAATAGAAATAACATTCAACACTCAAAGTACACTTTTAAAAAGATTATTAAAAGAAAGACTTATAGTTAGGTCTCCAAAAAGGTAATCGTACATGTAGACATTCAATTTCGTCTGGGGCATACAATTAACAAGATAGGACATTAGAGGGTCCAAAAGTCTAAATTAACTATTTTTAGTGGCCTAGAATGAGCTGTTCCAAAATCAGAACGGGTCGTTCCCAAGTCCGGAACGAGTCGTTCTTGAATTGGAACGGGCCGTTCCGAGACTCCTAAAAAGGCCTAAAATTGTAGGTTGGAACGGGTCGTTCCACCGCCATATCCGCCATTTGATAACACTGCTTCATTTGTTTGTTAGTCTACTCAGATATCAAGAAACTGAAACTTGAACTATGCATGGGTGATTGTTCTTTGCCTTGTATTCACTTAGGGTAAAGAGACTAGATTACATGGTAATGTTGATCATTGATAAAGTATGTCAAATCATTAAGATTCCCATTACTTAACAATGATGTATTATTAGATGTCATGCCACTCTATTTGTGATGTTAAAATGGGACTTCAATATTTTTGCCATCTTACTAAAAACTTGCATGGTCATACACTTGGAATGGATCAACATTGTACTGTAAATGCATAAGATGAACTTAGTTGGTAGTTTGAGTAAATTAAGACCAATGATATAGTATGTCATATAGTTAGATTAAATGAGGCAACCCAATTTTGGTATGTACATAAGCTTGGCTTACTTCATATAATGGCATTGCATTAGCTGCAATCCACCATTCACTTTAGTTATATTGCTATTTGCTTATAATAATATTTGGCTTACTTCATATAATGGCATTGCATTAGCTGCAATCCACCATTCACTTTAGTTATATTGCTATTTGCTTATAATAATATGTAAATAAATCTCATCTTCCTTTATAGAAAAACAAAAAAAAGATGTAGAAAAGCTGACGATGAATTTTTCTCCTCCTTCCCCATAAAAGGGACATGTAAATATTGAAGTGTGCAAATAACATGGTTTGCAGTAATCATCGGAATTTGACTGTTTACACACATTTGTACATTATGTTGTGTTGTATTATTTTTGGATGCTTGTGTAAGAAAGGATACCTTTCAAGTAGGTGTGAGCTTGACTCTTTTTCTTACGTTCAGTCAAAGGAATTGTGACATAATCTTGTTGGAATGTTTCTATACTGAATTGTTAGAGCTTCATTTTCTACTGAAACTAACATATCATTTAGATCCTATGTTATTATAACCATTATATTGTGCTTTTTCCTCTTATTATTGATAAAAAAAATTGAAAAAAATACACATTTTCTTCTTGTGTTATTATATTTAAAATTTGAATAGATTGCTCAACTTGTTATCATCTATTATACAATATTTGTACTATTGTAATTTTTTCTACTCCCTAAAAGGGACGTTTCTATCATTTATTTTGCATTTATTATTATTTTTTCTCTTGTAGCCTGTTTCGACAAAGGGGAAACCTTCAAAGCTGCACAAAAGGAAACATCAAATTGGTTCATTGTACTTTGATATGAAACAAAATGAAATGAAACTCGCTGAGCGGCGTTCAAAGGGCATGCTTACCAAAGCTGAAACACAAGCGAAGTATGGATGGTGATTTGGGACGATGATCTTGGAAGTATTCCCATCGAAAGGTGGATGGCAAAGCGGAAGTCTTCATATTTAGCTGCAGTCCTTGTGTTTGTCAAAAGATGTGTACATTTGATCCGTACTCCAGTGCAAATTATGTATTGCTATCCTTTTAGTCATTAGACAGTTTAATATTTTACACTACAATTTTTTTCCTTTTTTATGATGAAAAAAACATATTTCTTTCTCTTATTAACTGGCTTTTGAGGTCAGGTTTTAAAATACAAAATGTCACTTATTCTTTATCTTTGTACTTTGGTGAGCATAAAAATATCAGATGCATATCGTCCAGTTGGTTGATAAGCGTGCTTGAGTTCAATTTTTATAGATAAAAAGAGATCTAATATATTTAATAAATTACAAGTTGATCAAATGTCATGAAAACTGACGAATTTAGTATTTGAACTGATTTTTTTTTTTTTGAAACATCTCTTTAGAAGTAGAAATGTCTTCAATTAACTTTAATAAATGTTTGAAACTTTTATTCATTTAAAAATATATATATTTTAAAATCCACGTTTGATTTGTCTCTTAAATGCGAAGTCCAACTAGGCAAAACGCTATCTTAATACTAAAACAGTCCTTTTTTTATAACCATTTCCGTATTGAACTTGTTTGATCATCTATTCATGTGTTCGTAAAAGGAATCAAAAGGTATTTTTGAGGAGCACTAGCATAACATTACTATGACTATGATGCGGTTTGTTGTGGAGAAGTAGATGTTGGGATGTATTAGATGACATGGTCAATTATTCTAAAGAATCCAAGAGTGTTTTTGTTGTAGAAATTAAAACGTTTCATGGATTTAATGTAAGGTTTTTATATTTGTTATAAGCTTTTAAAAATATTCAGTTATTATTTATTCCCAGAAATGTAATATTGCAATGTTTTGCTTGATTTTTATTTCCATAATGAAATATGGAAATCTTATATTTTAATGGACATTTGAGATGTTACTTATTCAACTATTAACTCTCATTTGTATTATTACTTTACTTTTTATCATTTGAATTTTGAAAAAATATTTCTAAGAATATTAAAATCTTCGTAAACGCATTACTTGTAATTAATATTGCTAGTTATAATATTTTTAAAAAATGTCATATCCAAACATATATTAACATATCTTAAAACAAATGCCTTGTAAAAAAAAATCTTAAAACAAATGCCACCAAGTATTAAAGGGTAATTATCATTTTTCCCCTAAACTATCTATTTGTTAGATCGAAAGTAAATGCCAAGCTATTTTTTTTTTTTTGGTTACAAGAGATAAGCATACAAAAAAGAAAAAGAAAAAGAAATAAAATAAAATTCTAGACTCTGGAAAACTGGACTTCCATAACATCAGCACACAGAATCTCATGAAGCCAAGATGGAGGTTCATAAAACACCTCCAATTCATCATCTGACAGCAAACCCTTTTTAGCTAAAGCATCAACCCCTTTCATTTCCTTCCCTTAGAATATGTAGAGTAGAACATTTCCAATCTATTTGCAACAAAAGATGAATAACAGCCAGCTCATTACTATAATGATGCCAAGGCTTCCACATTTGATTAACCAAATCAATTGTATTCTTTGAATCAGAATAACAGATGATTTTTCAGTAACACAATTCCTAGCATAATTGAACCCCCTTCAAAAGAGCAAAAAATTCTGCATACAAAATAGTAGATTTTCCTGCCATACCAAAATAACCAAATAGAAACCTTCCATCCAGCTCTATGACTGCAAACACGATATAGCAGGAGGGCTTGCATCACAATGATACATACACAGCCAAGATATATTGCAAAAGAGCATGAGACTTTTGCACCACCAGAAAAGGCTCCACATAAATATTATCAAATAGAAAAGCATTTCTAGCAAACCAAACCTGCCACAACATTACTAGAATTAAAATTAAAAAAAAAACAAAAAAAAAACATGCGTATGAATACAATTCCGAATCCATGCAAGAATGGAGCCACCAGACGAAGCATTTGATTTGATGACATCCCTCAACACCAGCAAGAGACCAAGTAACAAGACAGTGATGGAGTGTTTCACAATGGTTAATATGCTTATGACAGGCTTATTAAGAAGACTCAACAGCTTGGTATTCACTCTCTGAATAAGACCATTAAAATCCGAACGTGACACTCTTCTTTGAATCATCCTGAAACCCAAGTATCTCTGAAAATGACTAGTAAACCGAATAGTTGTGCGCACAATAGCCTTCTTTTTCCTATTCATCACACCTGAAGAAGCGAAAGCTCTACATTTATCCAAACTAATTTTCATTCCTGAAATATAACAAAAATTAGCTAAAATCGTGGCAATCAACTGAGCCTGAGAAACCTCCGCTTTAGCAAACAAGAAACATCGTCTGCGAGACAACTTAGTCCTTTAGAAGTGATCTGTAGTGGCTTCCACCTACCCTCTTGCACGTCATCCTGAATTTTCCCATACATAACACAAACAAAGGGGATCTCCCCCATTCCATAAAATAGAGATACTAGTAGAGAATATACCATGCATGATAAGGAAAACAATATTTTCAGGAAAATCATATAACCGTAAAGTTTGCTTGAGAAAATCCCAGTCAACCCTCGGTAATGAATGACTTCTTGAAGAACAATACCATTATCTTTGGTAGCTCTACTCGGGATAAAACTACTCTGCCAAAGACTAATTAAATCATTGAGAAATGGTCTCAATCTATAAACATTTCAGCGACACGTTCATCAAACAGACCTGTTGCGAACGCTTGAGCCACAAAGTACCACACATCATCCCCCTCAAAACATTTTAAAAAACATTGGTTGGAAGCCATCCAGATATGATTTATGTTAAACGACATGATTTCTTTCTTTTTCTTTATCGGCTTGAGAAAGAGATAAATCTTAATTGGGATAAAAATTCTTTGCACGCAAAATATTAAAAGGGTGAGAAAAGAAAAGAGAAGAAAAAGGTGTTTGATGATTATTTGATTTACATGGATTGCTTTACATGTGTTAACATGATTTATTTTAGAGAAATACTAGGAATGTCTTTCAATTTTTTTACCACCATTATTTAGTGAGTTCTATGTGTATCCCACTAAATTATGTGAGTCCTCTCTATTAGTATGACTATTGAACTAATATGATATTATACTAGCGTAATAAGTGTTTAAAAGAAAATGTTAAAAGAGCATGTTAATAGCATTTTTCTCCATCTTAATATGCTTAGAGTTCGTAACATTTCCAACAAGCTTGTTAAATGCAGTAAAGCTACACTTATTATGTGTGCTACAGTCACCTCCATTTCAGTTCAAAATCCAATCACCCCTATATGGTTTATACAGTTGATTAAGATTCAAATCCAACATGAAGAGCAATAACTTGAAGGCGTGAATTTGAAAAGGAACAGAGGAGAACGCATTTTGCCATTTTGATTAAATTGTATTCACTCATAAATGATATAATCATGCATACAAATTATATAATCTACAGGATGTTGAATTATCCAGATTTGTTCCTAGTGAAACTCCACATGTCTATGTCTAGAAAGAGAGTTTGATCAGAAGGTTGAGCCATTGAATCCAAAGAATGAGCGCTGCACCAAAAAACGAATAAAATGAGATATAGAAATTAATGAACATAAAAGTTGTGACCATGACATTCATTGTATGGAAAAGAAGCTGTTTGATTAGATATTGTTTACACACCCACCATGATAATGTTCATAAATATGCTTCAGAAAATTAAAAAAAATAAATCAAGATATAGATTAGTTCTTTATAGAAAGGAACAGTACAGGAAGTATAGGAGCATATTACGAGATTTTTCTCTTTCGTAGCAAATATTTTCTGTTCAGCCAAAGTGTGCCTAAACTACATCAGAAATCAATATTAACTAAATAACTTGTGTTAGAACTTGTTTGATAAATTTTTCTGAAAGCACTTCTAAGAGAGAAAATTAAAAAAAAAAAAAAAAAAAGATTTTCTATAAGTTAAAATTAACTTATGTTTAAGTTAAAAACAAGATTTTGAAAAAACAAATAAGAGAGTTTCTACCGATATCTTATGAATAAACTAATTAGCAACTAATTCACGGAAAAATAGTCCTAATTCAATACATTTTTTAGCCTCCTCCAACAAACACTCCTAAAAGTCATAATTGAATTGCACCGATACATAGCACACCTCCAAGTTCAAAGAACCAAAGCTGTTTCAACATATTGTACAAGAGAATTAAAGAATGTAGAATGAATGAAATCGCTTCACCTCACATAAAAATCCTTCCAAAAACTAGACAATATCAAAAGATGGTAACCGACATGAACACTCGATATCACACAAGCCATCACAGAACAGAGCAGCAATTTACCTGAACATCATAAAACTTGATATAGAAACGGGAACTGTCAATATATAGCTTAGTTTGAAGAATTTCTGCAATAGTAGAACTCAGTTTTCCATTAACACTCGGACCAAGACCCCCAATTGAGATCAATTCTCCATAAGCAGCTGGCTCTTCAGTTCCAGCAAATGCAATAGGCACTCCCCCATTCAACAAAATCATCACATACTGAAATATAAACCCCCAGAAATGAAAAACATAAATCTATGTCAAATTATGCTAAAAAATAAAGCAGCAGAACATTATTCAACAGTTGCCCATAAAATTACTGATAACCCAAGCAACAAAAAGTGTTAACAGACAGAACTAGTTGAGTGTTGAAGGGAAGTAGTAGCTTTGATGACAAGGATTAGATAAAGTTTTGATATTTTTTATAGAGTAATTTGATCAAACAATAGGTGAACAATGTTGAAAGAGTAAGCAAAAGGGTAGAAGATGGAGTTAACTGATTCGGGTTTTCCGATGATTTTTGCAACGGCTTTGGTGGCATCTCTGAGAATGTCAGAAGCAACGACGGTGTCGACAGGAAGGTTTGTGAAGAGATTCAAAGTGGGCATTGTTGCTTTGCTATACACGACTGAGTGAGTGAGTGGCTTTGGGGTCAAGGCTTCAGGATAAGCTATCTCTCTCTCTCTCTCCCTCACAGTGGTATTAACGCTATTTCTTATGTTATTATGTCCGCTATTCATAAATGTGAGTTTAATAGTCAGTCTCTACCGATTAAAAACTACTTTTATATAACTGCTAATTCATTATACATAATTAAGGAGTTTAAATTATTTAATTGAGTTTAATACAGATGACAAAGTATATCGAAACTCTACTTAGCATATCTCAATTTTCGTTACTAAACTCATCTAAATGATTCTATGATACTCTCATTATTAATAAAAAATAAAATAAAACATTCGTGGTATTTTCTATAAAGGTGCATGCTAGGATAAAAGAGTGAGGTATATCTATCTCACACCGAGAAACACAATTTTTACGGTTAGAATTTTTAATTTTTAAATCAATTGCTGAGAATTATCATGGTATGAGTTGAAAACATTCCAAGTAGAATGAGGTTAGCGCTCTTAGCTGATTTTTTTTTATTTTTTTAAACATAATTGAATCCATCATGCCTAGAAGAAACAAACATGCACAATTTTAAACTAACTACATCTAAATAATTTGTCTCACATCATTCGATACTACTTTTTTAGTATCCTTTAAAAAAAATTGGCTTATGATAATGCAACTTGCGTTAGTAATAATTACAAGTTCTTATCTAGGCCCTTTTTTTTTTAATGCATTTATATAAGAAAATATAATAACAACTTCGATTAAAAAGTACAATTAACACACTGGATACTGTGAGTTTCGTACTTTATTTAATTATATTTACATTAAATTTTAACACATGGTGTTTTAGGTTATATATTTATATTAAATTTAATTAACAGTAAATAATATGTTAACGTTATTTTTAAAAATAACTATTACTTCAAGGATGTATTCAACAATTTTTAAAAAATACAAAATATTTTTATTTTCCAAGAAAACATAGCTTCATTTCACTATATTATTTAGTTTTATATTTAATTATCCTACTTAAATGAAAATAAAGTGACAAAAAAATTAAAATAAGCCAGTTTTAAGGTTATAATTTATTTAAACAAGAGAAAATAATAAACTAGTTTTTTTTTTGTATATGTACTTCATAGTGTGTTTAATCAATTATAATCGGATAAACTTGTCTAGCTATGTTTTCTAAAATATAGTTTTAAGATATCGAATTCATTTGGATAAAAAAAATTATTTTTCACATAATAAATCAAGTTTTTTTGGGGGGAGTATGGATCTTTCCCAATGCAAACAACCTTTTTTTTCAAGACTAGCTGAAATAAAGTTTTCAAACATGCTAGTAATACAAGTTTTTATAATGATGATTAATCTTTTCAAAATAGGATTTAAATACATATATATATATATATAGTATTTATATATTTTTTAAAAACACTTTTAAAAGTAAACAATTTAAAGACTTAACAAAAGCTTAACCGGCCTTACCTTTAGAGCGCCCTGCAATTGGACAGTAACACCTACAGCTAAAATGTATAGCTAGTTCAATGACATCCACAATTTAGGCAATAATATGACAAGTTAAGAATAGTTAGCATTGTAAATATAAAATAAAATAAATAGAAAATATAGTTTAATGCTCCTATAGATACCACGATTAAGCTATAAATCAATGCGCATATACACTACAAAACTAAACACCCTGAAAATGGTTAATATTTCATTACAATTTGAATGGCACTACTCATCTCTTGGTCACATCGAAGATTACCCAATTACATGATGATAACACATAATGATGAAAGAAAACGTGATTTTGGTGGCTTCATAATACATTCCAGCATTGACTCTCCAATCAGATCAGACCCAATTAGAAGAATTTGGCTCAAAATGAAGTCATTGTAACCTAGAGACACCAATTCAAAGTCTGAAAGTACTATAGCCTCCCAGACCAGAAGATCCATACCCGCTGTAAGGTTGCGAAGGCAGGGAAGATGAGGAATACGATGAACTTCCCAATTGAGTGTAAGAAGATCTCAATCCTGTATCTAACCTGCTGCTGTAATTACTAGCGACAGGTTCCTTGTGATTGCTTACAACTTCCTGCAACACAAAACAGATTTCAATCAGTAAAAGCATAAGAAATAATCTATCTTCTTAGCATGAATCAACATTGATGGTAAGTATCCAATCACATCAGGACGAGAAATGAATCATGGTTGTATGAAAATATAACTACTGAACACTGATGGTTAGTAATCAGTATCAAAATAGAATGAATGAGTGAAACATGAACGGAAGACGGAAAAAGAATCATGGTTGTAATCACGCAGAAGAAGTGGGAACCAAGATATAATAACTATGAGGTGATTGATAGACATGAAATCAAACATAACTTTTAGCTCCTACAAAAGTTAAATGTAATACATAGAAATTGATAAATCTACATATTTGATTTGATAATACATACAAATGAATTTAGCAAAAATCCAAAAAGATGAAATTCTCACATCTTATGTTATAGAACTTTTCTGATGAATTACTCTATTTCCCACATGAATAAACCTTTGAAAAGTTAGCCCAAACCCATCAGCCAGTGAGGATTGGTTTTTTCAGGTCTACTAGTAAGGGAAACCCCAACTAATATACATCCAATTGCAATGGTCATATGTACCAAAAAGAAAATCGAATAATGTCACATGTTTTGACTTAAGATTATGGCCACTTAATAATGTTCTAAATTAATTTGTAGATGTGTTTATGAAAATTGAATACTAACATTTTTTTCCAACTTCCACCCCTACCAACCAACATATAACAAATAAGAATGTCAAGACTAAGTAAATCATCTTCATTACTTTCATTTCCTAGTTTTCCTATAATATAAAATCGATTGATCGATTTTCTCCCTTTTCTCATATAACTCTTTTTACTACTTACCTTTAAATTTTCCTACTGCGAGATCAAATTGCAACTAAAATATATATTTTAGCCAACATAAGGCTCATTACATGAATATGAGGATATCAAATAAAAGCATTCAAAAAAGTGAATACTTAATACTGATAAAAATGAGTAACTATGCAAGGAATATGTTAAGAGAAAACCTCAGTATACATTAACACTTGCTTAAAAGTCAAGTACCTTTCCAAGCATATACACATGCCTATGCATATATCACTCGAACAAAAATAACAGAACCAGGAAACTTTCTTTTCTTAGGCCCAAGTATCATACCTGAATCAACTGTTGTGCCATTTGAACCTGAGATGAGGTTCCTTTAATTTCCACAATGATTTCATCTGGCACACGGCTCTCCTGCACAGTCAATATGGCCCCACTAGTTCGGCGAATGTAATCAATATTAGCCCCTTGTATACCAATGATGTCCTCTGCATAGGACAGTGGTATTTGCATTGTTTGTATTACCTAATAATCGGAAACAGTAAAGGAAAATGGAAATTACAACCATTATCAACAACAAAAATAATAAAAGCAAAGAATAATGAGATAAGAGTGAACAGGATATAAGTGGAAAACTGTATGCATTCAGTTCACAGTACTAAAAGCCCCTACATAAAGAATTAGTACATAGAATATAGATATTCACTAGCTTCCAAGTTTTCATCTCAAATAGAATATAGATATAATATGGGTGATTAAAATTGCTAACCGTGGTAACAATAGGAGGAACATTGGGTCGACTTAGTGTCGAAGAACGAAGACCAGAAAGTGAAGTATCTTGCCCATATATTGACATTGTGGAGGGAGGGAGGAATGAATCCAATTGACTTTCACGGTCAGCAAAGAGAGAATCCCTTTTTGTTGAAAGTGACATATCAGTTACAATGCTAGGTTGTGAAGCACTATGCAGCGACTGTTTGTCAACCCAGGTATCTGCCTGGCGCTCTTGGGAGATTGTTGCATTGTACTTGAACAAAACAAAGAATCCACACATTTTAGTGACGAGATACATTAAAATCAGAAACATATACACTGGTATCGACTATTTAAGCCTGATTTAATAGTTGGAAAACATCAAACTTACAGTTTTCTCAAACAAAGGAAGAACACTATGATCAACCAAAAACTTCCTCAGGTGCCCAACTACTGCTTCCAGGGCCCTAAGGACCTTCAAGGCTTCTCCCTGCAGTTCCACAATCCTCTCGTCAGCAGCAGCATAAAAGGGAACCTCATCTGTCAAGAAAATGATGTGGCATCAGAATTACTTCCAACATTGAACAAAAAAAATACAATATGACGGGAAACAAAGGAAAAGGTCATTTTCATTAGGAGCATAAAACATAAAAAGGGAGACATCAACTTTAGGAAAAGACTCATGTAAAGTGAGGTTGCCTTTAAATTAATTAAATTATTAAGCAAGTAAGAATGTATTGATTCTTGAATTTTAGTAGTTTCAGATCATGATACAATTTAAATTAAATCAAAGGTGAATACATCATTACTTCTCATTTAATAGTCTTACCATTGAAATTAACAAGCTAATCTGGCTACAAAGACAAGTATTTGGTAACAACCACTTAGGCTCAAAAAGAGAGAAAAAAACAATCTGATAAACTAGCTACCAGCTACCATATAAAACCTGCCATAATAATAATTACAGGCATCTAACTTAAATAATACAAGAATGTTCAAAAACTTCCTCACAGCTGCAAGCAGCAAGGGGACACATCCACAAACAAGAGCCACAACAACTGAAAGGTAAAACACTGAAAAGACAAAAGGTACCCTAGTTTGGCACACTTTGTATGACATCAGAAAATATGAAGAAGAATAGGCAAAATAAAAGGCTGCTATTAAGACACACGAGAGAATATCATAGATGTATCATGCATTATTGTATAACAGGGACAGCAGACGCACCTCCAGACAGTACTCTAACAGAAGATCCGGTATTTTCCTGTATAGATTTAATTAATGAGCCCTGCTTTCCAATCAAATTGATGGCCTGAGTTGAGGCCACCAATAAACGGATGGAACAAAATGCAACCCCTGATGCTTTATTGTCACCATCAATTTCAGATAACCCTGAGACACGTTTAAAAACCCTTATTACAGCATCCATTGCTGGAGAAAGAGGTGCCTCTGGCTCTTCCTTCCCTGATATGAGTACCTAAAAACAAAATTCAAAATATATTCAGGATAAAACAAAACAACACAAATCAAATAAATGTCCTCATCTAAGCAAAAACGTTTGGGAAAAATACTGATATGGAAACAAGCCTCATCTGAACAGCATATAGACCAACTAAACTATAGATTTAACTTCCATTCACTTTGGGAATTACAAATCTACATTGAAGCTGCAAGCTATGCATTACAAAGAAAACTCAACTGCATTCTGTGCACGTGAAACAATTAACACCGACACCAACTGTGCAGACACAGTGTCCTCACTTATAATCGAATGAAAAAATTTGGAACCGAAGCAACACGCCACACAGAAGCATTTTTATTTGGGGGGGGAGGGGGGGGGAGTGGGGTCTGACAGTGGATTACCAAATAGATAGCTGCGAGATTAACCTCCGGGTTGGAGTGATGGTAATGCCTTCCCCGGAGATTCAAACCCTAACACTGCAGGTAAAGCTAAAAATCCCACATATTAACCACCTCACAAACACTGTCTATAAAACACGAAACCTCGAATTACACTACAGGTAACAATACCCCAATCGAAAACGCGTCACTATATTAATGAAATTACGATAAAACTGTAAGTTGAAACAAAGGAAAGTAACGCGTTGAGCTGAAACCAAAACGCGAGCACAAGAAATGGAACTCGTAACCTCCAGGCAGTGAGAATAAAAATCCCTACTTCACAAGTAATATTCCACGTAAAAAAAAGGAACCTAACAAAACCTAGAAATAGAAAAATAGAAGAAGAAACCCTAGAAATGAAACAGGGAAGACTAACGATTCGATCGGTGGTGCCGACGGCGCCGTCGAGAACGCGAATGCGAGCTCTGGTTTCCTCGCAGGTCTTCTTGATGAGCTCCCCCTTGCGGCCGATGATGCTGCCGACTTTGAGCACGGGCACGATGAGGCGGAACACGCAGTGACCGGGCCATCCCGGCCACCGCTTCTCGGCGGCCTCGGGAGCGGGGTCGTCGGCGGTGGTGGAGGGAGGGTCTGCGGCGGGATTGTCGGATGAGAGGGGGTTGGCGGTGCCGTTTTGGATTGGGTCGAGGGTTGCCATAGGCGACGAAAGGTGAAGTTAGGGTTTATGCTTCCTTCTTTGTTGGCTTTCAGGTTTAATCTTTTTCTCCCCAACACAACACAACACAACACAACCTCTCTATTTCTCAACACTACTACTACAATTACAAACCTCCTCTTTCTCTATTCTCTCTAAATTCTAAAACCATGCCTCACGTGCTCCTCGCGTGAGAGGGGCGAGGGGCCCAACTAAGCCCAACACACCAAATTAAATAACCGTGACTAGTAAATATTATATTATTATTTATTTATTTGTCAAACCTGGTAAAAATTAAAAATCACAAAGGATATAAATGTTTAACGTAAACTCATTTCTTACCAATAATATATTTTTTTAAATATTCAAAATTTCTAACTGTTTAAAAATTACATGTGAGAAAATTAAAACATAAATAAAAAGTTGTGTGCCTTTTTGGTAGTTTATAAGGCTGCTATACTTTCCAGTAATGTTTCTCTAACCTTTTGCCTTTGTAGCAGAGAAATGTATCATAATCATAATTAAAAAATTGTTTAATTGTTCCTAGATATGTTTTTCTCTTTTTTTTTTTTTTTTAGAACGCAACTATGAGTTTAAAACGTAGAACATCATGTTATATTTAGTTCTACACTGAACCTTTACTGCAGATATTAATAAAGATTTAATTACCTCAAAACTCAAAGCTAGTTACACCATTTTTGCGGACCCCCAATCCCAAAAAAAGGCCCAACTAGAAAAGCCTACATGAACACCATGCAGAGAGATTGGGAAACTACTGGCCTAGTAGAGCTTTGATACCAATACCATTAGCCTTACACACGTTTGAATGATGAGTTCTTTTTTCCCTTAATTTTTCTTCTGAAATTTAAATTCATTTTTTTATTAAAAAAATTCGCTTCCAAAATTAAATATTCAAAAGTCTATTTTTTTTTTTCGTCCCTATCCAAAAATCTATTTGTTATAAATTTCAAAATTAAACTTCTAGAAAGCTGTTATAAGTTTTATAATTAAGATATGGAATAACATTTGTTAATAGGTAGCTAATTTATGTGGTATATTATATGAATAGCAAAAATTTATTAGTACATAAGTGATTCATTAATTGTATTTTTTAATCAAAGGTCAATATTTCGTTCTAACTTGATTATGAAGTCAAAATTAGAGGTATTATTTTCACTTCTAAAATGGGTTGATAAAATGAGAAAAGTTACACCTTTTAAGTTATTAGTGAGAGGTCCTTATATAAGTTCTTAAAATAAAAATCAAATCTTATTTATTTGTTCTACCATTGAGGTGCAGTGACATGATTTTCAGTGTAAAATCAGTCTTTCTATAAGAACTAAGTGTTGCAGCAATAAAACAAGAAAGTAGATTTATCGTGTTGTATAAAGTGAATTAAAAGTTCAAGTTAGATTTTTTTTATTATGATATTATAAAAATTCTTAAATCCTACTCAAAATTGAGGGTAGAAAAATATTAAGAACCTAAAATAATTTTTACTATCAAAGATGCTCTTAATTAATATATATATATATATACTGTCTAATAAAGCTAATCTTACCATTTTTTTAAATGTTTGCAACTCAAACACAACATACTTTATATGAGTTGGAAATTTTTTTATATATAATTAGAGTATGAATAATGAGGTAGGATATAAATATTTAGATGTTCATAGAATATGAAAATAAAACACTAAAATCATTAAAATTGTTACTTACATTAATATGAGTATAAAAATGTTAAGATTTTTTTTTTTATGGAAAGTGCTCCAGTCTTTGTAATATAATAAATATAAGGTTGTCAAACCGTAGGAATTTGTAAGATTTTGGTAAACTCTCTTTTTTTTTAATAAAACTTGATTAGGATAAATTTATATGAGACAATATCATATTGCTACAAACTGAAATAATAACTCTAGTAACTAGAAAAACACATAAAATAAGGTTAGAATATAAATTTATCGAAATATACAGCTGTTGAGATTAAATTTCACCAATTTCACCTTCATGTACTCCTATGATAATTATATATGATTTTCATTATCCAATATCCTTGAGTTCATTGAATTCCTTGATTTAGAAATTCTAAGGATTACAACTTAATAGTTGATTCCTCAAGTTAAAAAGTTAAAATCATTGCATTAAGTATGAGAACTTCTCCAACTAATAACTTCAAATTTATTCTTAATCTTTAATGGTGTGTTTGGATGAGAAATTTTACAAATTCAAGGAATTTTAAATTCTTGGTATTTAAATTACTTTGATTTCAATTTCAATCATTCTTAAAATATTTTGTTTGGATAAGTCAATTCAAATTTCTCAAATTTTAAATTGTTGGGTTGGATATGATAACTTGATTCCACCATGATAACATTGATTTTAAAAATATATTTATATGTTGATATTTTTAAATTAAATTTTATATAAAAAAATATTAGCTAATTTTTAAATATTTATAATAATTTTTAAAATTAATATTAGATAATATTTATTAATTTTAAAAATATTTTTGAATATTCAATAATTAAAAACTTGAAGAAATAAGAGATAAGATAAAATATATAAGTGAAATAAGAAAAAAAAATATGAGGAATTTCAAATTCTTACTTTTTTGGGAGAATTTGAAATTCTACTATTTAAAGGAATTTCGCAAATGCTTGAATTTCAAATTCCTTATAAATTCTCCATCCAAACAAGGTATTTCACCTCAAAGAATTTGAAATTCTTCAAATAAATGAATTACTCCATTTAAATTCCCCATCCAAACACACTATAAGGCTATTAGGTGCTATAATTTAAAATTAAGTTCAGAAAATATTTTCTAACTGAAATCTAAACAACAGATCAAAGATGAGTGATCAGATCATCCAAACATTAAGAATAGAATCAAACCCACTAATATTGACTAAAAGAACCTTATATATATGAAAATCAAAAGGAATACATGAGAGGTTGATGGCTACATTTAATTTCAACAAACAGAAAAGATTAGCCTCTCATAGTGATGGGAACAAATCCAAGATACATGGAAAATGAGAAGAAGAATAAAGGAAAAGCTAAAGAACCCTTATTTCTAGTTGGTTCCAAGTTCTTTTTTTTTGCTCTGCTATGCTCGGGCTCCTCCTCTCTTTTTATCCTTCCATTTCCTTTTTAAAGGTCGACCAAAATAAAATAAAGTAGGAAAGAGAGATATCAAAGCGTTCAACGACTTTCAAGCGGTTGAACACTTGAGATTCTTCAAGGTGAAGTAACTTACAGTGGCTGAGCCCTTGGTCTAACGGCTAAGCTCTTGGGAGCTACAAAAATTCAGCCTCTCTAATCTTGAACTGCTCAGCCCTTTTTCAATCGTTGAACGGTTTGAGTTTTTTTTCCCACATGCTTCTCTACCTGTAAATCGTTCGACCCTTTTTCAATTATTGAGCGGTTTGGGTTTGATTTAAATTCTTTATCTTTTTTACATTTACAAAATAAAAACACCCCAAAAATTAATAAAAATATGGCAAAAACCCTATTTTTGTCCCTTATATTAATTGTTTGTTTCAATTTAGTCTCACTTTTATTTTTGGTTTCAATTTGGTCCCAAACTAATTAATTAGTTTCAATTTAGTCTCAAATTAATTAATTGGTTTCAATGTGGGACTTACGTCCAAATTTTTTAAACGGAGTTAACTTTTGGCCACGTGGATGTCACGTAGATGCATAAGTGGATGACAATTTTTTTGAAAACACCTGGACCCAGAACGGCCCGTTCTGAAACCGGAATGGGCCGTTCTGGTTGCACTTTTGGTGCGTTAATTTTGCATCCGGAACGGCCCGTTCCAGGTACAAAATTAACACACAAAAAGTGCAACCAGAACGGTCCGTTCCGGTTTCAGAACAGGCAGTTCCGGTTTAATCCTTTTTTTATATATAAAATATTAATTTTATAAAATATATATTATTAATTATATTTTAATTATGTTGTTATATCTAATAAAATAAATATATTAATATTTTTATATATTTTATTTTATTATGTTTATCTTATTAATTTTTATCATTTTATTCCTTTAATCTTAAATAAGTTGCAAAAAATTATAAAGTGATATTCCTTTTATCTTATTAATTATTATATTTTTTAATAAAATTAATTAAGAATATTGGTTTAATTGCATTTTTTATCCCTCAAGTATTACAATTGTGCAGTTTTGTGATCTCCAAGATTTTAATTGCATAATTTTAGTCCTTAAAGAATTGCAATTGCGCGATTTTGGTCCTTCAATTTTTAATTGAACAATTTTAGT